GGCTCTTTGTTCTTAAAATAAAATAAAATAAAATTTCTATTTCTTTAACCATATTCAAACAGGTGTTTCTTTTTAAAATATTCTCTCTGATAGGTCCCATTGTCTATTTTCTTAATTTTCACTTTAGCCTTTTTCTTTTGCCCAGTACATTTCTTAATGAATATGTTTTGCTGAATCAAAAAATCTTTCCATATTCTTATAAGTGTTACTGTAGATATAAAAGGTAAGTCAAGTACAATATCTTCGTAAGGGGCATTTGCCCATTCATGTTTGTTCTGTTCTTTGCGTTGATAAGGCATTGAAACGAGGCAGGAGTAACAACAGATGCTTCTTTATTTCAGCTTTAATAGAACAACATAAAATGGCTCCGCTCCCTTTTATGCCTTCTGCAGGGAACAGCGTCAGCCAATAAATGCAACGTATTTTCCCGCTCTGCACATGCTCAATAGGCTGGAGACAGCCTGTCTGGCCTAGGCAGGCCACATGGTCTGCCCGGGTCTTACTGCAGCTTCCTGCTCTGTCAGTCACAGGCCAAGGACATAACACTCCTCCCCTCTTGGTTCAAAACAAATAGATACTTACTATTTTAGTCTACTACAATGTCACTTCTCCATAGCAATACTTAATACTTTACAATATTACAATACTGCTAGTCTCCCGTGTTAATTAATCAATAATACACAATTATTGATCTCTGATACCACATTATAAGACACATCTTACTATTCAATGAAATCTCAAACACTACAACATTATAATACAATTTTGAGCGTGTTCTTATTTCTAGGAAATACTAGGCCTGTCCGCTTACTGACAGCAACCTCACATAGTGCTGTAGGAACTTTGGAGGGCCTCTGGCCCGCTCCGATAGTCTCGAAGCTGCTGCAAGTGCCCGGTCTACAAGCTCGCCTGCCAGGCTTGGCAGACCGGGACTTTGAGACCCGTTTGATGCGGGTGAACCCGGATCTTGCTGGCTGGCCTGTTCTGGTAAGCACATCCCTTTGTCCATTTGACTTCGGCTGGCCCTTTCTGGTAAGCCCAAACCAGAGTTCCCTGGTGGGGTGGAATTCCCCGGATCGGCGAGAGAACCCGGTTGGGAACACTGTCCTGTAGGCGCACGGCCTGAGGTAGATGTGGCATGAGAAGCCCATTGAGTGCAATGTCCCATGGACCCGGTGCCAGAGTCAGGAGCCGCCTCATTGGCAAAATCCCTATTTGGAGAATGCAAAACCCCCCTTTCGCAGAGAGACTGAGATCCACGATCGTGGTCCTCCTCCCCCCTGAGAGCAGAGTCAGGAGCGGAAGAGTGACTAGGTAACCTCCATTGCAGCTGGTCAATGTGCCGATGCAGCATGCGAACAAGGGCACTTTGTATGACAGTGGCCCAGTGACTTTGCAGACCACTGCTATCACCCAAAGATGTCCAGGCCCATAGTTCCTTGCCCAAACTGGATCACCAACTTTCAATCTCCTCGGTGCCCACGGCTGTGACACTAAGAAGCCACCCAGTCTGGGTGTAATCTGTCTAATCTGGTAATAAGACGGCGACCCCAGCGGAGTTCAGCTGGGCTCTTGCCTGTAGCTGTGCAAGGTGTGGTACAGTGGCAAAGGAGAAAATCAGCTAACCTGTGATGCCAGCTCCCATGAGTGAACCTCTTCAAGGCTTCTTTGGTGGTGTGCACCAAGTGCTCAGCTTGGCTGTTGGAAACTGGGTGAAAAGGTGCCGAAGTAACATGACGAATCATGTTGGCTTTCAGGAAGGACTGAAACTCCAAAGAGGTGAATTGAGGTCCGTTGTTGGAGACAAGAACATTTGGGAGCCCATGAGAGGTGACGATCCCCCTCAACACCTGGATGGTCCTGGCAGTCGTCGTGGAGGACACTGGAACGACCTCTAGCCATTTGGAGTGACTGTCCACAACAATAAGGAAGAATTGCCCCTGAAAGGGGCCAGCGTAGTCGATATGAACCCTCGACCAAGGAGCATATGTGGCCTCCCATCTATGCATGGGAGCCTGTGGCATTTCAGGCCTGGACTGTTGGCAGATGTGCACCCCTGGACCTGGGTCTCAATCTCTTTATCAAGCCCAGGCCACTAGAGATAGCTGCGCGCAAGAGCCTTCATCCAGACTATTCCCGGATGTCCCTCATGCAGAGACTGCAAGACTCCAGTCCTCAATGAGGTTGGGATCATTACCCTGCTACCCCATAGGACGCAACCCCTTAAAGGTGGATAGCTCATGTTTCCTTTTCCAGAAACTCTGGAAATTGGTGCCAGGACATGTGTCAGGCCATCCTGACAACACCCAGTTCAACATGCATGTTAGCATGTTATCAGTGGCTGTTTCTGCAGCCACATCCCCTGCATTGAGGGGAGACTCAGGCAAATCCTTGATAGCCAGGATGTGGTTGGCCGGAGCAGGATCTGATTCTAAGAGCTGTAGAGGCAACCTACTAAGGCCATCTGCATGGCCCATTTCTTTCCCTGGTTTGTGAACCAGGGAATAGTCATAAGCAGAAAGGAAGATTGACCACCTCAACATTCTAGGAGAAATTATGTATGGGGTTTGTTAGTTAGTTGTGAACAACCCCAGAAGTGGCTTGCGGTCTGTAAAACCGTGAAATGGCGACCATACAAAAAGTCATGAAACTTTTTTATGCCAGCCACAATAGCCAAGGCTTCTCTGTCTATCTGTGCATAATTACGCTCAGCAGAAGACAGAGTCCTTGAATAGTAGGCTACAGGAACTTGTGTCCCATCAGCCTTGAGGTGGCTTAAGACAGCCCCAGTTCCATAAGGGGATACATCACAAGCTATACAAACTGGCAACTGCTCATTGAAATGAGCTAGAACAGCATTTCAAGACAACAATGCTTTGCCCTCAGCAAAACTCCTTTCGTGGACTTCCATCCACTTCCAGGGAGTCTGTTTATCCAAGAGCTGGTGTAACAGCTCTGCCACTGTAGCCTTATGGGGAAGGAAGGAATGGTAAAAGTTTAGGAATCCAAGGAAGGTTTGAAGCTCGCTCTTTGACTTGGGACTTGAGGCCTGCTGAATCGCTTTGAGCTTGGACTCAGCAGGATGGATGCCTTTGGCATCTATGCAAAACCCCAGGAATTCAGTAGAAGTTACTCCAATTTTGCATTTTTCCTGTTTGAACCAGCCCCGCTTCGCAGAAACAAAGCAAAACGGACCGGAGCCTTTCAGACAGGTTTTCCGTTGATTCCCCTGCGATGAGGACATCGTTGAAATATGAGCAAACTCCCAGAATCTTACGAAACGTTCGCTCCATCATGCTTTGAAAAATGCCAGGGGATACATTAACTCCTACTATTTCTTTGGCCATGATCTCCCTTAGCGTGTCTTGGAAGGAAATGGCGTCTTTTGCAAAAATCTTTTGCTGCAGTTCTCGGCTCCTCAGACCACAAACTAGCTGATCTCATAGCTGTTCTTCCAAGCCTTTAAACTTGCAGGGCCTTGCAGCTTGACGCAGAGCAGCAATAAAGTCCTCAGCAGACTCTACTGGACGTTGGTCCCACTGTTCAAATGCATGATGCCATGCTATTACTGATAGCTTCGGTTCAAAATGTTCCTTTAACATTTTCTTCAGCTCTGCGTAAGTGATAGTTTCCAAAGGTGCTGGAGCAACCAAGTTTTCAGCGATGTCAAAAGTCTTGCACACAAATGCACAGCAACGTTGCATGCTCCTGAAGGGGAGGGGGAAGACGCTGTGGGCTGTGTTTCTCTCTAGCATTAGAATGTATCCCTTTCGCTGTCTCTGCATACTTGTTCTTTGAACTGTCTCTCGCTTGATGTTACCTTGGGGTGAGAAAGGAATGTGCCTCGGGCCATCTGGCTTATCTCCTGTTTCGGAAGGGAAGGTGTGAAGACCCAACAACATCGCTACAAGCCTGGGAAAGACCGGTGTTATCAGCGCTTTCCCACAACGGATTTAACAGCTGAGGATTGGTCCGTTTGAACTGACCGGATGAACTATTGGGGTGGGGTTTGCTTGGGACTCTTTTAACCTATTGATCTGAGAGGGAAACCCTCAGATCCTGTCTATTATGCCTGCTATTAGTTTCTCCTAATAAAAGTTCTTTTTGGAAGAAACTGCTTCCATGAGTTTTGCTTTCTTAGGATGAGATTTTGAAGTGGGCCCTGACAGTCAGCATCTTCAATCTGTATCTCAGGAGGTCCCAAATATGCCTAGCTGTTTTCCAACTGGGAAGTGAAAGACTCTTTTTGCTGTATCTGGGTCCCAGTAATTGTCAAGGCCATGAAGGGAATAAATAAGAACTTTCTGGTAAAGTCCTTCAAGGTCGGCACTCTCCTTCCGTATAAGTACAGCAGATCAAATAAATGCCCAGCTTTTAGTCTGATTGTTCTTGGTGCCACCAGATCTGAAGGGAATGGTCCTCAGTTTGGATGTGGGAATAACTAGGCCATATGGGTGGCAGATAAATCAAACAAACAAACAAATAAACCTGAGGGTGCTCCTTTCCTGGCTCAGGTGTGGAAACAGTGGTCAGGAGAGCAGGCAGGGAACCTTTTGCAGATGTTGAAGGCAGAGAAGGCATTCTTTGCCATTCTTTCTACCCCTTGCTGAATCCACCGTTCAGTTGGATTTTATAGCACCTGGCTGTGTGTATTGTGTTTTCAGTGTTTACATTTTGGGAGTCGTTTTAAGTTATTAAGTGTAAACTTTAACATGAATCTTTTCACTGGGCCCATAAAGTGTACGTCATCCCCTTAGGACATCCACTTTATGGACTCAGTGAAAAGAAAATTTTGCTTTAGGGAGGGAGCAGTGCCTAGTTTTGCTCTCGGTCCCACTTGGTGTTTTCCAAATTCCTCCCTTAGTCCCTGGGAGCAACAAATGGAGGCAAATGAGTTGCAAGGAGATGCTCCTCTCTTGGGGCCTCCTCAGAAAACCCTGCAGGCTGTGTGGCCCGGTGGTGTCCTCATGGCCTCCCGTCCTTGCCTTCCCCTTCCCCAGGCCTCTTGTGGCAGTTGCGCCCAAGTGACGTGGAGGTGGAGCTCTTGGCTCACACCCGTAACGTGGTCAGCTGGGAGCTGGAGGAAGAGACGGGCCTTCACACGGGCTGGATCCAAAATGGAGGACTCTTCATTGCTTCCAACAAGCCAAGACTGGATGAGTACAAGAGGCTCATGTCAGTAAGTAGGAAGCCGCCAGCCTCTGCTTGAGTGTTGGCATCATCTCTCTGGTCCTTTCTGGAGATCTTTCTCAGCAGCAGCCTCTTCCTTGCATGTTGCCTTCCTTAAACCCTCTGTGTGGCTTTGCCCATCTGCCCATCTGCTCCTTTCTGACTCTTCAGCTCTGTGCTTTTCACCTTTGTGTCCCTCTTAAAATAGGTTTCGGAGAGCAGATGAATGCGCCCTCTGAGGTTCAGGCCACCAGTTCACCTCTGAACTCTATGGAATGCATATTTTGGTCATGGGGATTTGGAGAAAGTAACAGGATTCAGATCCCCTGGACTAACGAGGAGGGTCCCACCTCTGAAGGCACATGGGCCCAGTAAGGAGTGAGGTAGGGCTGGCTTATATAAGCGGGACCAGAAGGGAATAGTGCAATTCCAATATTTTTTTTCTAGTACAAATCAGACTTATTAGGCAAAAAGTTCAAGAATCAACTCCAAAGAAAGGCTAAAACTCCATTAACTGAGGTTCTGGCAAACCAGTTTGTGATGTGCTAGTGTACTCCCCCACCCCTTCTTAAGGAGAAATTAACCAGTGAACAGCTTCCCTCCAGAAGTTGTGGGTGCTCCATCACTGGAGGTTTTAAAGAAGAGACTGGACAGCCGTTTGTCCAGAACAGTATAGGATTTCCTCAGTGGTAAGATTCAAATACCTGAACATCTGGTTCTTTGCGTGGATGCAGGCCTGGGCCTCTGAGGCCTAGAAAGGACTTCCAGAAGTGACATCCATGCACTTCCTGTGGACTGTTCTAGGCCTGGGAGGCCTCCTCCAGGCCTCCGAGGCCTAGAACAGACTTCCGGAAGTGACATCCACGCACTTCTGGTGGGCTGTTCTAGGCCTGGGAGACCTGCTCCAGGCCTCCTAGAATGGACTTCCAGAGCAGCATGGATTCAGCCGGTTCTCCAAACTCAACAAAATTTAGCTACCCCTTGTACTGAACCGGTGTGAACTGGCTGAATCCCACCACTGGATCTCCTGCTTGTGCAGGAAGTTGGATGGGAAGACCTCCAAGGTCCCTTTCAACTCTGTTGAGTTGGCTGGTTTTGAATAGTGTTGGAATGTTCTGGACTTAAAACATGTTTAAATCCCTTTTGCCTAGGGAAGGGTTCCTCTGTGCCTCGTATTGAGGTCATCTGGTTACTCTCTATGGTGTGTCTGGCCACCAGATTCTGGATCCTTTTGCAGGAGCTGGCTGAGATGTTCCCAGAGCATCTTGCTTACTCTGTCCAGTGCTGACTCTTCTACAAATAGGCCCAGCTAATGTGCCAAAGTCATTCTGCATCCAATTTTTCCAGCAGCAGGCACTCAGCATGGACCAGGGTCCCATCCAGCTCATCCCTCATTGATGGATAGTGAAGCACATGCAAAAGTTCCTACAGGAAGAAGCCAATATGTAGCCAGTGATTCCAGGATGGCCTGATCTTCTGTAGCTTCTTTGCCTGGCAGGAAATTCCAGAGTTTGCTTCTGAGGAGTGTAGATACCCCCCCCCCCCCCCGTTTCTCTTCTTTTTCTGGGAAAGGAGCTGTTGGTTGACTTGCTTGGCACCTCTTGCAGCTTGCAGCTCCCTTGCCATTCTCAGCCAGGAGCTCCTGCAGGCCCTCTCTGAGTCTGCTGGGATGGGAGATGGCAACCCCAGAGAGGAGTTGATGCTGCCCCGTTTTTACCAAGGCCTCCTCTGGCTGGGAAACTTTGCCTGCAGCCAATAATAGACCATCCAGCTGTGCACCATTGGAGCAGATTTTATCCCGAAGGGCTTTCAGGATTGCCTGGGCTGGGCAAGGCCTCTGTAGCTTTCCTGCCTGCTTATGGGGGTCATTTGATCGTTCCCTTTGGAAACTCCGGCTCTTCTTTTGCAGCTGGGCAAAGTTTTTGGCATTGAATCACACGTCCTGTCTCCGGGGGAAACCAAAGAGCTGTATCCCTTGATGAACGTGGATGACCTCTACGGCACCCTCTATGTCCCGGAGGACGGCACAATGGATCCTGCAGGGACCTGCATGTGCCTCGCTCGGGCAGCCAGCAACCGTGGGGTTCTGGTAGGATCCTTGAGCTATTTAAAAGATTTAAATGGCCATAGAGAAAGAGTGGAGATAAAGCCACTTGCCTGATATTGTTGAGATCGTCTGAGTTCCTTAAGGAGAGAATCGAGCATGACGATACAAGAAGGTCCTCTTCTGCCCTTTTGCAAACTGACCTCATGGGGGGGGACATCCCTGGGGGGCTCTCAAGCATATTAAACTACGAGCTCCTGCAGGTGCAGCCTTTCTAGGAAGAACCTGGGAGTGCTGAAAGGGACCTTATTTGGGCAGCAAAATATTTGGAGAAGGGGCAGATGGCAGCAATGACAGACAGCCACCCCCCCCCCGGGTGGTTGTTCCATTTTCTCCAACGTGGGTCGGGCAGACAGAGCTTCGGCCAGCCACCCATGAAGTTGAACAAGCAATGATGGCTCTTTTTGCCCAAGGACAGAAATGGCGAGGGGAGGGTTTCATTGTTGCCTTTCCAGGTGATTCACGTATTCTGCAAAGTCTGGCTTCACAGATCTCCCCCCCCCGCCCCCCAAGTCCTCTCCACCTGTCTTCTGAATTGCTGCTCCTTGCCCCTTCTGCACCTTTTGGGAAGATCTGCTTTTCCCCTGCAGAACGATACGTATCCCTTGATTAGTCCTTGACCTATGGCCATAACTGAGTCCAGAAATATGGTTGTGCTGGTCGTTAAGTGGCTCACCATGTGACCATGCCCAGTTTTATGACCTTTTTGCAGTGGTTGTTAAGTAAATGTTATGGCCGTTAAGTAAGCATATTGTACCAATGAGCAATTTTTAGTGGAAACTAAGTAAAACACTGGTTTTCAGTAAAAAAAAAAAAGTCATTAATTGTGGTCAGGTGAGCCTTTGGGCCACTCGCCAACCATCCAAAATGCATTTTTTTATATTTTTTATGTATATATTTTTTTATATTGTGTTGTTATTGCTTGTAAGCCACCTAGAGTGGTGTGGCTTCCTTCCAGAAGTTGTGGGTGTCCCATCCCTGGAGGTTTTCAAGAAGAGATTGGACAGCCATTTGATCAGGAGGGTAGTGTCAACCATCCGACTAGCGGGCACAGCGAAAGACTTCCTGAAGGCAATTGTGTCCCATGAGGTAAAACCTTATTGGATACACCATCTCAGCATTGAAGAAGCCAAACCAGCTCTGAGTTTTCCCATGCAAAAGCTTCCTTATTTAAACAACAAATTCTCGTGGCCCCGCCCACCAGGTGTTCACATTGTCCAATTGTAATATTTCTTTTTGTTATGGGAGCAGTTTAGTTTTCCATCGAGCACCTGCGCTAATGACCTTGGCGTTCTTGCAGACTCTCACGGTTCGTGAACGGCTTCTTGGAATTTTGTTTCCTCCCTGCACTTTCTACTCCTCCCCCCTTTTCTGTGGCAAGTTGATTAGCGATAGAAGCCAGCAGGCCTCAGAGCGATTCAATCCTGACAGCTATAGACCCTCCTGCTTAGGCAGGAGGTTGGACTGGAGGACTTCCAGGGTCCCTTCCAGCCCTATGATCTTAAGTTCTATGTTCTACCGTGATATTTCTTAAATCTTCCCTCATTAAGTGATAATAGCATTTTCTGTAAAGATGCTCTCAGAATCAAAGAACACCATAGAAATTTTCTAAATAATTTATTTTCTGAAAATATTTTCCAGTATATGAACTGGAATTCCTCTCAAATTCCTCTAAATTAATGTGGGAACAATATTCATTTTGAAACCATTCACTTTTCCTCAAAGGGCAATGTTTTATGACTCCTATCACTATCTCAAGAAACCTCTCTCTATATTTTATTTATATTACATATTACTGAGTTATCTCTTTTGATGTATATAACATATCTAAATATTTAATGGATTCAATACAAATACAGACTCTTTAAATGAATGAGTAACCCAAATTTCACCCACTGGGATCAATTCCGATTTGGACCAATTAATAAGAGCATACTGCTCTTTTATTAAAGACATTTATTTTTTGCACCAATGCTGAGAGATTAGTATGAGGTTTAGAAATAAACCAAAGAATCATGTCTGTCAATAAAGCCACTTGTGTTCAACTGACTGAACAGCTCATTGCGACAAGGTGAGTCCAAACGGGCTCTTGACTGTGCCAGGTCAGGGCTGCTCCTCACCTTTCCTCAACAACGCTGAGGCGTCTCTTGTGCCCTTCCAGCCCTTGGACCTCCTCAGTAAGCCTTGGTGCTCTGTGAGATCTGCAACCACCCAGAGTCCACGTGGGCGTACTCCGGTCCAAGGCCCTGCCACACACGCAGTCCAAGCTGCCAGAAATCCTGTGCCAGATCTTCGGGGGAAGACCCAGATTCCCTCTGAACCATGCAGGGATCATCACTGAATAGGCACCACCTGGTTACTTGTTTTGAAATTGACTCAAGACAAGGCGAGCAGGACTGTTTATGGCTCTTGTTTATGGCTGTTTTTCTAGATCATTGAAAACTGCCCTGTGACTGGCATTGAAGTCAGAACGGATGACTTTGGGGTCCCACGAGTGGCAGCTGTGCTGACAAAAGAGGGAGCCATCCAAACGTCCTGTGTGGTGAACTGCTGTGGTAAGGAAGGCACCCAATTGGCTCCCCCAAAAGGAGGGCTGGGACTTCTCTGGTCCTCTGAATGCAGGTTTAACCAGCTTAGAACTGGGATAGGTTGGGTTCCAGGTCAGAAGAAGGTAATGGGAAAAGGAGTTCCTAGAATTTTATTTTATGTTTAATCACATTGATATAGCAGCCCATCTCACAGAAAAGTGACGTGTGGCAGAACAATTATAAAACCAAAATATTAAAATAAGTAGATTTAAAAACCCAACAATAATATTAAGAGCATGACAGTGGAAAAAGACTGATGCTAAACACAATGAAGCCATCTTTGTAGGTCACCATCTTTGTCACATTTTGGGAGTCTTCTGGAAGGATATCAAAGACAGGGCCAATCTCCCTGGGGGCGGAATGTTCTTCAGAGGGGTGCCATGGCAGAAAAGATCCATCTCCTGTGTGCCATCAATAAAATTCTTCTTCAGTCAGGACTCACAACACGCCTTCTCTGCCAGACCTCATGGGGGATGGGTAGAAGTAATTGATGAAGATGGCCCCACAAATACTCTGGCTCCATGAAGTGCTTTAAAGACCGAAACCAGCCCCTTGAATTGGACCTAGGGACGGCCAGTGCAACTTGCAGAACAACAATAAAATGTGTGGCATTCCAGAGCTTGTCCCACTGCATTTTGCAGCTGAAGCTTCCAGATACTCTTCAAACAGTCTTCCAAAACTTGAGGGGCTGCCACAAAGAACAGGGTGTCATCTCTGAGTTCCTTATCAAAAAAATGAGAACTTTTGGATTTCTGCATGGAAGCCTTGATCTGTGAAGAACCAGGTAGAATCTGTGGTGGAGACTGAGCTTATCACTATTGTCTTTAGATTGTACAGCATGAAAAAGGAAAGAAAAAAGCTTCACAGTTGTTTGGTGAAGATGGCAAGATGCCAAGAAGTTGTAAAGAACATACTGTATTTCCCTGAAAATAAGACCTATCCTAATTTTGGGGGATGGGCCTAATATAAGCCCTACCCCCAAAATAAGCCCTAGTTAGGACCCCACCCACTCCATCACACCTCTCTGCCACAATGGGGCAAAAGAACACGTCTCGCGCCTCTGCCGCCACAACGAGGTGAGGCAGGTGGGGAAGGGGTGGAGCTACCCTATGTGCCCCGCACCTACTTACTTCAGGGCCCCCCCAGCCACGCCATTCTTTGCTTGACGACATTCCCTTCCCGCCAGCCCTCGGTCGCCACCACTGGAGAGAATGGAGAACAGGGAGGGGAGCAGCTCTGCGCAGCGATGCAGAGCAGAGAAGAGCACTTGCTTGCCACCCTGCATCATCCCACGTCTTCCTTCTCCATTCTGGAAATGGCAGCCCCATTTTCTGCCCCTTCTCCTCCCGGCGCCGTTGTAGAGTTTGACGCACCACTGCCCAGCTCCTCTCTCTCTTCCTGAAAGCATTTCTTCACTAACCTGCTCTCCAGCTCTGTTATGTTTCTCTCCTGCTGCAGGGAAACTGTAAGGACCTACCCCACTTTGCATCTTAAGAAGACAGAACTCTTGGAATATTTCTTCCAACAGGCATCCTTTATTAAGAGAAAATGGTTGCAGGCATTCTAGACAGGACCTAGGGCTGAAGCCCTACGGTTCAAGGTTTTAAGGGGTCCCCAGCAGCCCCACCCCACCCCACCATCTTTCCAGCGACAATCCCAGGCGTTACATTTCCACCCCCTTTTTCCTCACTGCCGGCGGAAGGGAGATGTCAGAATCCAATTATATTTCATCTTTAAATTATCAAATATAGAAACTCCCAATTCTGCCTTCTCTGGATTCTGCCATAAGAGGGAGAGAAGGGGGAGAACAAAGGGGCTTTATGGCCCTCACTTCCTTCTTTACACTTCAAAGAGCTAAATGCTGAATGTGTGTTTATTGTAACCTCGAAGTGTTAGCATACCAAAGGAGAGTAATTGCCTTTCATGTAGTTATCTGAAGTCTCCATCCAGACGGAAGAAAGAAGAAAGGGAGTGGAATTGTGATACTTGAAACTATCACTGGAAGGGGGGTTGATTGGGTGGGACTACTGGGGAACCCCTTAAAACCTTGAATGGGAGAGCTTGAACCCCAAGTCCTGTCTAGCATGCCTGCAACCATTTTCTCTTAATAAAGGATTCCTGTTGTAAGAATTATTCCAAGAGTTCTGTCTTCTTAAGATGCAAAGTGGGGTGGGTCCTTACATTAGACAGGACTTGCAAAATTAATCCACCTGGAAGGAAGACCCTTGCCGGGGGATTTTGCAAAAATTTACCATGTCAGACAATGGAGCAAGAGAGGGGGAAAACTCCCTGGAAAGAGAGCCGCTGACCCAGTTGGAACCTTGCCAGATGTTGGGATCCGAGAGGCCAGATTCCTCAGGAGAAGAAGTGGTGGAGACACAGGACCACAAGCCTCGCTGGTCGATGGGAGTTGGAAAGAAAAGTGAGTGGGGAAAGGAATCAAGAAAGGTGACCCTGAGACGGGGGACCAAGCAACCAGAATGGAAGCAGGAGATGGAGAAATCCCTGCACTCAAGTGAAGAGGGAGGAAGCTGGGCACCGTACTCAGACTGGATCCTAGAGAAAGCTATTGACCTGATGAAAAGAACTCTCAGCTCCCTAGGAGAGGAGAATACTGAACCCTACGGCCACCCCAGTTCCTGGAGCTGCAAAGGGAGAGACACCGAGGGGGACATGGAACCTGCAACCCCAGGGACATCTACTGATCCAGGAGCTCCCACCCCCTACCGGACCACAGATGGCAATCTGGACGGAAGGCACTACCACCCACAACAGAGGCAACGATCCATTCCAAGACGTCCACCGTTGGAAGTGAAATTCAAAGGGAGCCAACACGCTTGGGGTTTTTCCTAACCCAAGTCCTCAGCTACATGGAGGAATATGGGCAGGATATTCCCAGCGACAAAGCCCGCATCCGGATCGTGCAATCTGCCCTGGATGGACCAGCTGCGGATTGGGTAGTGAACTTGCATGACTCCAATGCACCAGAACTCAGTAACTTCAACCGTTTCATGTCCTCTTTGAGAAGACGATTTGAAGACCCCCTGGCTGATCGCAAAGCCCGTGAAAGAATAACAACGATGAGGCAGGGCAAACGCCCAGTGGCTGAGTATACACAAGAATTTCGGGCCATTGCCAGCAAACTGAATTGGCCAGAAGACATCCTCCTTGGCCGTTTCAAAGACGGACTAAACTATGATCTATATGATGCTTGCCTGCCCCGAGGAGACCCACATCGACTTGAGGAATGTTACGTCTTGGCAGAGGAAGCAGAGATCGACATATTGAAGAGGCATCGCCGAGGAAAACAATGGAGCCGCCCCCCGCCTGAGCTGACACACCAACCGGTGAAATCATCGGATACAGCCAAGAAGCAAATGAGATGTTTCAAGTGCTGAAGAGAAGGGCATCGAGCTGTAGAATGCCGCTCAAAGGCCCCCCAGCACAACCCAGACAGATCCCCAATCAACAAACCCGGAAAGTATTCAGCTAAGCCAAAAGAAACGACCATGAGAATGATGGAAATTGCAGAAACCCCCACCTCTGCTCACCAAGGGGAAAGGACTCCAGCCTACACCACAGGGCCGGTGGATGCCTCAGATGACAGCTCGGAGGGCGAACCCCTGGTAAGTGGATGCATCACACCCATCTTCAAAACAGTGACGATATTAATCCCCCCCATGCCCGAAGCTGTGAAGGTGAAAGCCTTAATAGACTCTGGCTGTACCCGCTGCCTCATTAGCCCAACACTAGTGGGGAATCTGGGCATCCCATCCAGGAAACTGGAACAACCAATCTCCTTTGGCCAACTAGATGGATCCATAGCAGGGGGGGTGCCAGCTACCCTAGCCACTTTGCCAATACATCTCTCCCTGGGCAACCATGAAGAGGACTTAACATTTGTGGTGACCCCAGGTATGGAATGCCCAATGATTCTAGGGATGGAATGGTTGAAAAAATGGAACCCCTGGGTAAATTGGAGGACGACAGAAATCAAATTCCCGAAGGTGGACCCTATGGACTTAAAACCCCAAGGGAGGCTACCAGAATCAAGAATAGAAAAAGCATCCATCGGAGAGGAAAAAAGATTAACAGAAATACCAGAGGAATATAGGGACTTTGCTGAAGTCTTCAGTGAGGAGAGGGCGAATGAGCTTCCCCCCCACCGACCCACAGACTGTACCATTGAATTCAAGCCTGGGGCAAAACTCCTGAAGCCCAGATTATACTCCATGAGCCCAAAGGAGAAGGAGGAAATGGAAAGATTTATTAAAAAAAACCTGGAGAGAGGTTTCATTGAGCCAGCCAAGCCTAAAATGGCTGCCCCGGTCCTTTTTAGAGAGAAGAAGGATGGCTCTTTACGTTTATGCGTGGATTATAGGGCCCTGAACACAATCAGTGAAAGCAACCTATACCCGCTGCCCCTCATGAAAGACAGGCTGTCACACCTATCGACAGGGAAAATTTTTTCTAAACTAGACTTAAGGGAAGCTTACTATCGCGTGAGAATCAAGGAAGGGGACGAATGGAAGACTGCATTTAACTGCCCCATGGGGTGCTATCAATTCAAAGTCTTGCCATTTAGATTACAAGGGGGCCCGGCAGTCTTTATGCAATTAATCAATGATGTTCTAAGGGAGCACCTATTTAAGGGGGTCCTTGTTTACTTGGACGACATTCTTATCTTTACTGAAACAAAAGAAGAACACGTCAAACTTGTCAGAGCGGTTTTAAAGAAGCTGCGAGCCGCTCACCTATATGCCAACTCTCAAAATGCGAATTCCACCAGGAAAGGATAGACTACCTAGGCTATCGCATATCCCCACAGGGCATTGAAATGGACCCAGAGAAGGTCAAAGCAGTACTAAATTGGGCACCACCCCGCACAAGAAAGCAACTACAAAGTTTCCTGGGCTTTGCAAACTTTTACCGCCAATTCATCCCCTCATTTGCCCAGATAGACTTGCCCCTCACTAACTTACTAAAAATGAAGGGAGCATCCTCAGTAAAACCTAGCCAGCCACTAACATGGACAATGGAGTGCCAAGCAGCGTTTGAGAGACTAAAGAGACTTTTTTCTGCCGAACCAATACTAAGGCACCCAGACATGGACAAGCCCTTTGTAATACAGGCAGATGCAATTGATGTGGCAGTGGGGGCTGTGCTATTACAAGAAAATGATGATGCAGTATTGCAACCCTGTGCATATACATCCAAGAAACTCACGGAAACAGAACAGCGCTGGCCCGTATGGGAGAAGGAGGCTTATGGGATACGTTGGGCATTACTCACGTGGCGACAGTTCCTGGAAGGCAACAAAATCCCCTTCCAGGTGTGGACTGATCACAAAAATTTAGAAGCCCTGAAAACTTCCAGGAAACTCAATCCCAAACAAGCCCGCTGGTCCCAGCATTTTCACCAGTTCCAATTTAAACTCAAACATTTACCAGGGAGAAAGAACTTCCTGGCAGATGCTCTATCTCGCATGCCCCAATATAACAGCGCACGAACCACAGACTCTAGACCAATAATGGCAGAGTCACAACTGGCAGCACCAGTAACCACAAGAACCCAAGCCAAAATAAAACCACAACTGGACAGCCAAACTGGGATTGAATTCAGAAAAAGCTTGGAAACAGATGAATGGTTCCAGAAAAACAAAAATGTGTGCACAATGAGAGACGGGTTGCCTTGGGTAGGGGAAAAGTTATATATACCAACAACTCAAAGAGTAACTTTTCATGCACCTTTGCCATGACACAAAATCAGCAGGGCATTTTGGATTTGTAAAAACTTTACATTTAATTAAACGGCAATTTTGGTGGCCATCCATGAAAAAGGACATTGAAAGTTATATAGCCAGTTGTCCAAAATGTGCCACGGCAAAGAGGTTGCAAGGGAAAGTGCCAGGACTATTGCAAACAGTGGCAAGTCCCTCAGCCCCCTGGAGAGAAATAGCCATGGATTTTATAGTGGAATTGCCAGAAAGCAATGGGAATACTGTGGTCTGGACGGTCACGGACTTGTTTTCCAAACAGGTGCACTTTATCCCTTGCCAAAAGATTCCCACTGCAAAAGCCTTAGCAAAACTTTTCATCCAACACATTTACAGATTGCATGGGGCACCCCAACGCATCATCTCTGACAGGGGGTGCAATTTACGTCTGCATTTTGGAAGGAATTTTTATCCCTCTTAGGAACCACTCAGGGACTGACATCTAGCCACCACCCTCAAGGAAATGGGGGGGGCTGAAAAAATGAACTCAGTACTTAAGCAATATTTAAGATGTTTTCTTAGTTTCCAGCAGACCGAGTGGGCGGACTTACTCCCCTTTGCAGAAGTTGCCTACAATAATGCAGTCCACTCCAGCACAGGTTACACTCCTTTTCAAATAGCCACCGGTCAAAGCTTCAACCCCATGCCAGAATTAACCCCAAACGAACCAACGATCCCCTCGCTGAAAGAATGGATGGAAAAATTACAAAACACCTGGCCAATAGTCAGAAAAGCACTAGATGAAGCTAGGCAGGCTTACAAAACACAAGCCGATAAAAAAAGGGTTGAGCCTACACCATTCATTATAGGAGAGATGGTGTACTTATCTACAAAATACCTAAAGTCCCTACAGCCCTGTAAAAAACTTGGACCAAAATACATAGGACCTTTTCCAATTAAAAGAATCATAAATCCAGTAACAGTAGAATTAGAATTACCCAAAAATCTCAGGGAAATACACCCAATTTTTCATTGCAGCTTGCTGAAAAGAGCATCAGTCACCTCTACGGCCAAAAATCCCCCCCCCACCACCTCCAATCATGGTGGAGGGTGAACAACACTTCGAAATAAAGGAAGTCCTTGACTCTAGGAGATATCATGGAGCAACTCAGTACCTAGTTGCCTGGAAACACCTCCCTCCCTCACAAAATGAGTGGGTCCATAAACGTCATGTCAGAGCCCCGAAGCTATTGAAGAAGTTTCACACAGAGTATCCTAACAAGCCTGACTAAATTTTATACTTGTGTTTTCTTTCAGGTGGATCTCTCTTATTGTTAAGAGGGGCCGGATGTCAGAATCCAATTATATTTCATCTTTAAATTATCAAATATAGAAACTCCCAATTCTGCCTTCTCTGGATTCTGCCATAAGAGGGAGAGAAGGGGGAGAACAAAGGGGCTTTATGGCCCTCACTTCCTTCTTTACACTTCAAAGAGCTAAATGCTGAATGTGTGTTTATTGTAACCTCGAAGTGTTAGCATACCAAAGGAGAGTAATTGCCTTTCATGTAGTTATCTGAAGTCTCCATCCAGACGATAGGAAGAAAGAAGAAAGGGAGTGGAATTGTGATACTTGAAACTATCACTGGAAGGGGGGTTGATTGGGTGGGACTACTGGGGAACCCCTTAAAACCTTGAATGGGAGAGCTTGGACCCCAAGTCCTGTCTAGCATGCCTGCAACCATTTTCTCTTAATAAAGGATTCCTGTTGGAAGAATTATTCCAAGAGTTCTGTCTTCTTAAGATGCAAAGTGGGGTGGGTCCTTACAGGAGACTTCAGAGAGGAGTAGATGAAAGCTGATGGCCCCATTGTTATGGTTAGTCCTTTTGGTGGTATCCACATTCAGTCCCTTTTGAAGTTGTACCAAAAGAAGTGAGGGCCATAAAGCCCCTTTGTTCACCCCCCTTCCCTTCATTGTATGACAGAATCCAGAGAGGGCAGAAATGGGGTTTTCCATAGTCGATAACTAGAGATGAAATATAATTGGATTCTGACACCTGGCTGGGGGGGGCCCCTGAAGTAAGCAGGTGCAGGATGTGTGGGGCAGCTCCACCCCTCCCCCACCTGCCTTGCCTTGTTGTGACAGCAGCAGCGGCCTCCTGCTGGACAGGGCTGTTGGTGCCGCCACCACGAGGCAAGGCAGGTGTAAGGACCCACCCCACTTTGCATCTTAAGAAGACAGAACTCTTGGAATAATTCTTCCAACAGGAATCCTTTATTAAGAGAAAATGGTTGCAGGCATGCTAGACAGGACTTGGGGTTCAAGCTCTCCATTCAAGGTTTTAAGGAGTAGTCCCACCCAATCAACCCCCCTTCCAGTGATATAAGTATCACGTCTGGTTCAGGTTACATGAAAGGCAAATACCCTTGGGGAAAACAATAAACACACATTCAGCATTCAGCTCTTTGAAGTGTACTGAAGGAAGTGAGGGCCATAAAGCCCCTTTGTTCTCCCCCTTCTCTCCCTCTGATGGCAGAATCCAGAGAAGGCAGAATTGGGAGCTTCTATATCTGATAATTAAAGATGAAATATAATTGGATTCTGACATCAGGTGTCACGAAAAATATAAGACATCCCTGAATGCTTCTTTTGGAGGCAAAAATAATATAAGACCGGGTCTTATTTTGGGGAAAACGGGGTAGAACCTAGCATAATAGGGCCCTTGGAGGTCTTCAGCCCCTGCTCAAGCAGGAGAGCCTGGGCAAATGGCTGTCCTCTCTTCTTGAAAACCCCCAGTGATGGAGCAGCCACAGCTTCTAAGGCAAGCCATTCCCCTGATTAATGGTTCTCGCTGACAGGAAATTTCTCTGCAGTTCTAGGTTGGATCTCTCTTTAACAATCTTGCACCTGCTCCTTCTTGTCTTGCCCTCAGGTACTTTGGAGAATAGGTCAATCCCCTCTTTTCTCTGACAGCCCCTCAAGTGCTGGAAGATTGCTATCATGTCATCTCTAGTGCTTCTCTTGGTGAGAATAGACATATCCAGTTCCCGCAACTGTTCATTGTATGCTTTAACCTCCACCCTCCTAGTCACCTTTGCTCTCTTTTCTCTCTACTCTTTCCACAGTCTCAGCGTCTTTTTTGTGCTGTGACCAGAACTGGATGCATTACTGTATTCCAAGTGTGGACTTAGCAGTGCAGTATAAAGTGTTAACTCCGCCTGTTCTATCCAGGACATTTTTTTCTTCCCTGAGGCTTTTCAGTGGAGCAACCCTTTTCTCAAGTCCCTTCCAATTAGGAGTTGAGTTTCTACCTGCAGCAGGTGTAAAACCCTTATTTGCTGGGTATTGATGTGGCAGGACAGAGAGAGGGCTCTCTTCAGCTTCCATCCCTAAGTTCATGGCCTAGTCAGCAGAGGAGAGAAGATGGCAGGCTTGACCTCCCTCTTCTGTGCTTGACCAAAGTACTTTTTTCTGCAAGGGTTACCCGGCCAGGTTCATTCTCTGGCTTCCCCTTCCTTGCTTCCTCTTCAAAGCCAAGCCCTCCCCCCCCCACATGCCCTTTGGATGATGGCGGTTGTTTTCCTTCTCCCACAGGTGTGTGGGCCCAAGCCCTGGGGGAAATGGCCGGCGTCCAGGTGCCCCTGGTGGCCATGCACCATGCCTATGTGGTGACAGAGAAGATCGAGGGGATCCAGGTCAGTCCGGCAGAGCTTCTGTCCTGGTGGGACAAATGTTAGTAGCCACAGGTGCTGTGAGTGATTCTGGTGTCTTCCCTTGATTCTAAGCATCTTTTCATAGTGGGAGAACACACCCTTTGTCACACTCATTGCACATGCAGCTCAGAGGGTCCCCCTTCTCAATGTAGGATTGCCATCTTTCCCTGAACTATAAATGTGACTCCATGGTGGGAGGCAAAGGGGGGGAGGCTGAATTTTCCTGTCTATTCATCTGGCTTCCTGACTGCTTCCCACTATTTACTGCGCAGGACGTTTTCCTACTTAACCTTGCTTGCAGGAATATTTTTTTCAAATGTAACACATACCATAGCTTTAACATTTACACAGAATTTTGGAAGCATAGAAAATCGGAAAGTATTCTATGAAAACTCTATGAAAATCCAGTTTCTATGAAGCTGGATGCAGTATTCCAGATGTGGTCTTATTAAAGTTTTATAAAGCACTCCTAATTCCTCATGTGATCTTGACTGTGTTGAAATGGTCTAAGGTCTCTTGCCTGAGCAGGGGGTTGGACTAACAGATCTCCAAGGTCCCTTCCAACTCGGTCCTTCTGTATTCTAAGATCCTTACATCTTTTTACTCCATGCTCTTTTGTCACCTGGGTTGTTTTCCTCTGGACACAGGTCAGATTGTTAGCATCAAACCCTAAAATGATGTGGTATAAGCAACATAGAAGGCAGAGATTTGATGTTTTACTTCAGCCAAAGGTCACCTTTGCTTTTTTCCAACTTGTAATCCACCAAGACATCCAGATTCTTTTCGTGGGCTCTGTTCCCCAGCAGGGTCTCCCCAATCCTCTTCTGAATTCTTTCCACCTAATTGAAGGATGGGGGGAATAGAAGACAGTGGTAGATTCAGGAGGATTCCAGCCAGCTGGAACAATGGCAGATGGCAGATAGGACAATGCAAACGCCTGCATTGGGGGAGGAAAAGCAAAGGCCCCTGTTCAGGGTGGGAGGGAGCCATACCGTGAAAGGGTCTGGGCATCTTGATCACACTGAAGGTGGACAAAAAAGGGCAATGGCTCTCCTAACTGGCATCTTTAGAAATACAGCTTCAGAGTCAAGAGAGCTCCTCCTCCTTCTCTTCCTCCTCCTCCTCCTCCTCCTCCTCCTCCTCCTCCTGAACCTGGGACGTAGTACTAAGCATCACAGAATTATAAAAGGCAATAAAATGAAAACAATTCAGTTTTGGATATGAAATCACTGGTAAAAAACAAAAATAATCACAAGATATTTAATGCAGGGAGAAATTATTCTTGCAGAAAGAATCTGACTATTAGCTCACTCAGCAAAATATTTGGTCTGCCTCTGACAGGGATCTATAAAGAATTGTATCAAAATAACAGTGTTAAATTATGGCAAGAAATGAAAAAAAAAACATAGAAAGGTGGAAGTATCTAAAGCTATCTTGGGTAGAATCGGTCGCATTATCTAAATCAGTGGTTCTCAACCTTTTTAATGCCATGACCCCCAACCGGTCATAAGTCGAGGATTACCCAACCGGTCGTAAGTCGAGGACTTTCCATGCCTGGGAGTGCCGTGCATGCGTGGTGCCGCCCCCTGCGTTGGCCAAGGCATAGCTGGCAAGCGGCAGAGATGGCGCAGGCCGACCACCGGCTGGGCCACCAGCTGGCCCAGCCCAAGGGAGGTAAGGCACCCACCGGGCCCCACGCGTGCCAGCAACCCTCCCTGCTCCCGCTGGCCTCCCACTCCTGGCCCTCTTTTACTTACATTTTTAGTAGTTGCTCAGCAGGGAGGGGTGGAAACTTCCAGACAGCTCGCCTTCGCTGCAGATAACTTGCAGCACCGTTTGCAGAATGGGACTTTTGGCGGGCTCAGCAGGGCAGAGACAGCCTGGACAATTCCTATTGGCTTTTGAAAGCCAATAGAATTAGACTCTATTCAAGAGAGTCTATTCTATTGGCTTTCAAAAGCCAATAGAATAAAAGAGAGTAACACAGCTAAGGAAAAGGGGAAAAAATGGGGGACTGCGTTGTTTGGCGACCCCCGTGAAATGGTCATTCGACCCCAAATGGGGTCCCGACCCACAGGTTGAGAACCACTGATCTAAATGAATGGATTGCCTTGGATAAATGAGAGGTCCACGGGGCTCTGAGCTTAGTTGTTTTCTTGCAGTAGTTTCAGTAACCAAACTAGGTAACACCGTCATGTTGGGTAATGTCTTCAAGAAAACCATCAAGCTCAGAGACAACCAGGGACCCTTCATTTCAACCCTGAGCTCTGTCCATACTGAGATAAACTGTTTGCTCCAAATGGTGCCAGTGACTCAGAAAGCGTCATAAGAAGGGCAAAAAACAACCACAACCACTCAGCCAATTCTTATGGAATGGAAAAAGACTCAGTTAAAGTAAAAATTGTTTAAGATTCCAAAGAGAGAGGTGGTCTTGTCTTTCCAAACTTTAAATTGCACGATAAAGCAAGTTGCTGGTCATGGACAACAGAGTGCATAAAATTCCCAAAGAGCAGAATGGAAAAACTGGAAGGAGCTGGTTTAGCCAATGGATTTCACAGATACAGGGGGATTAAAAGGACATATTATTAGACAAAGTTTGATAGGTCAACATTTTCATCTTTAGTTTCTCCTATAAATGCTTTCCCTGCTGGAGATAATTACAGAAAGAACAGTATGTAATTACATAGGCAGGCATGGTTCATTCAGAGTCAAGGAATAGATTAAATAGATTAATATTCTGAGGACCAGAATATACCATGCTTGATGTATTGACAAATTACTGGAAGGATACAATCATTCATTAAGACTGAAAGGACATTAAGACAAAATGACAGAATTTGAAATGCTTGTACAAAACCAATACCATTTATTAGGGCACATATATTTACTCAGAAATGACACAGGTTTTTTTAAGTGTATAAAATAGATGAAAAATTAAAAATACTAGTACAACAATGGGAAAATTTGTGAACAAAATCTGTAAAATTTACTTTAAGCTACAGCTTAAAAGAAAATTGGTGTAAAATGTTTTAGAGATGGTATGCAATTCAATGATTGCATAGATAGGAACATTTTACCACATTGGGTAGACATGTAAAAACACCATATTATACAGCATGCAATATATACAGTTTAGTTTCTAAGGGTGCCTAATGTTTTGTTAATATTGTGAATTAGCACAAAAGCAAAAAGAGGGACTTAAAAACCAAACATCTTTTTTTCCTCTTCCTTTTTTTCTTTTTAATCAGTTGTCAGATTTGCTTTATTTTTCTTCAACATGCACCAGTAATTAGTAGGGATATCCTTACTTAAGACAGAAACCCTTGTTGTCCAACAAATAATCTGATGTCATACACAGCAGTTTTCTAATGTTATATGGATGAAAAAGCAAAATAATCTTATATCTATTAACACTGGCATTTTAAATCATTAATATTGATATGCCTTTTTTCTGTGTTCAGTGATCTAAGTTATCAGAATATTAGTGAATACTGTGCAAACACCAATATTAAAATATTGAATGTATAATGCATGTTTCAGAAGAGTATAGTAAGAATATTTGAAAAAATTCTTAAGAGAAAACAGTTTTGAAGAGGCATGATGGCCCTGAAGATGTCTCCTGTGGGAGATCCAGGCTCTGCCACTAGAGGGCCCTCCAAGGCTGCTCAAGGGTGTAAGGACCCACCCCACTTTGCATCTTCAGAAGACAGAACTCTTGGAATATTTCTTCCAACAGGCATCCTTTATTAAGAGAAAATGATTGCAGGCGTTCTAGACAGGACTTGGGGGCCAAGCCCTATGGTTCAAGGTTTTAAGGGGTTCCCAGCAACCCCACCCCACCCCACCATTCTTCCAGGCGTTACATTTCCACCCCCTTTTTCCTCACTGCAGGCGGAAGGGAGTCTTCAGAGAGGAGTAGATGAAAGCTGATGGCCCCATTGTTATGGTTAGTCCTTTTGGTGGTATCCACATTCAGTCCCTTTTGAAGTTGTACCGAAGGGCCATAAAACCCCTTTGTTCCCTTCATCGTATGACAGAATCCAGAGAGGGCAGAAATGGGGTTTTCCATAGTCGATAACTAGAGATGAAATAGAATTGGATTCTGACAAAGGGTCTCCACAAAAGGGCATCACTCATTGTGGAGGGCAGAGATGGGTGAGCATCCTGGACCCTGCAGAGTTTCAGCTTGTGGCCTCAGAGGATGGGCAAGGGCATCCACCTGGGACTGGGAGAGCCTCCACTGGGGAAGCTCTGCAAGGCGCCACAGCACAGCTTCCAGACTTGGAAGATTACATGAAGGAGAGTTTCCCTGGAATGAGGACTGTGATCAGTGCAAGAAAAACCCAATGCACAGGAACAGAACAGGTGGTACCTGGTTCAATAGCAGTAACTGTGAGAGGGACCTAGGAGTCCAGGTGGACAATCACTTAAATATTAGCCAGAATGTGCTGTAGCCACAACAAAGCCAGTGCAGACCTAGGCTGTATTAACCGAGGGATAGAATAAAGATCATGCAAAGTGCTTTATACTGCACCGGTAAGACCACACTTGGAATACTGCATTCATATTTTTGCAATATAGACTCTGGAAAGAGTGTAGAGAAGAGCAACAAAGATAATTAAGGGGCTGGAGACAAAAATATACGAAGAACAGTTGCAGGAATCGGTTATGTCTACTAGGGGTGACCTGATAGCAGTGTTCTAATATTTGAGGAGCTGCCACACAGAAGAGGGGGGTCAACCTATTTTCCAAAGCACCAGAAGGCAGGAGAAGAAGCAACAGATGGACACTTATCAAGGCGAGAACAAACCTACAGCTAAGGAGGAATTTCCTGACAGTGAAGAACAATTAACCAGTGGCATGGCTTGCCTCCAACACTGGAGACTTTTAAGGCGAGATTGGATAGCCATTTATCTGAAATGGTATAGATTTTCCTGCTTGGGCGGGGGGTTGGACTAGAAGACCTCCAAGGTCTCTTCCGTTATTCAATAATCTATTGTTCCTGTCCATTCCCATGCATTAGGGCTCGCCTTCTGCCAGCAACCTCAGGTAGATGCATCCTGAAGCATCCTCCATGACCCCTGGCAGCAGCCCTGAGGGATAAAAGTTGGCATGATTGGCCTTCCTCATTACCTGAGGTTGCATCGCCAAGGCAGGACTCCTGTGCCCCTCACTTGGGCCGCTGTTTAAACTTACCAGTCATATTTTATTTATTTATGAGACTTATATACCGCTTTTAAGTGCAAGCACTCTCTAAGCGGTGTACACCAGTAAGCAATGTATATATATATTTACATTGTCCCCAACAATCTGGGTCCTCATTTGACCTACCCCGGAAGGATGGAAGGCTGAGTCAACCTTGAGCCGGTGAGATTTGAACCGCTGACCTGCTGAACACAGTCAGCTAAAGTGGCCTGCAGTACTGCACTCTAACTGCTGCGCCACCTCGGCTCTTTTGTGAGTTGTGCATTCCTTGGAGATATGCGGAAAAGCAATACTCTTGCCCAGTGCTGAAAAAAGGGAGGCCCAGAAAGGTTCTCAGTTGAAGGTCAGGAGGGCCAACTTTGGAGGCTCTGGAGGGCTCTGGAGCGCCTTTCCCAGCCTGGCCCTTCAGGGTTGCCCTGGAGCTCCCAGAGTCCCCAGTTAGAATGGCCAGGATCCTGAGGAGAGATCTCCCAGCTGTTCTCGGTGGTCCCGGGGAGGGGATTGTCTGGGGCCTTAGGAGCAGCTGGTCTTCAGCAGGGGCTCCTTTAGAAGGCAGCAACAGCAGCAGCATTGGTGCGTGTAGAGAGAGGCCCGCGGTTCAAATCTCACCGGCTCAAGGTTGACTCAGCCTTCCATCCTTCCGGGGTAGGTAAAATGAGGACCCAGATTGTTGGGGGCAATGTAAATATATATATATACATTGCTTACTGGTGTACACCGCTTAGAGAGTGCTCGCACTTAAAGCGGTATGTAAGTCTCATAAATAAATAAATAAATAAATAAATAAATAAATAAATAAATAAGACAGAGGAAGAAGCCTCAGCCTGCTCCTCCCTCAGTGGAAGCCACAGGATGGGGGACAGCAGGCAAAACTCCAAAGGGATCCTCCATGTGACCTCTGGGTCTGCAGCCAGCAAGGGGTCCGCCCTTCACCTCTTTGGCTCTCTTGGTGTGAGGTGGGACAGGAGGCAGCCGAGAGAGCTCCCCTCCCTGTGAAAATGCTGACCCGGAGTCTTTTTGAGGCTGAACAGTGATTTTCTCTGGGTATTTTTAGAACATGCCGAACGTTCGAGACCACGATGCCTCCGTGTATTTGCGTCTCCAAGGTGATGCCCTTTCTGTGGGTGGCTATGAGTCAAACCCCATCTTCTGCGAGGAGGTGAGTTGTGTTTTTAAGGAATCGCAAGAAGGAAGTGCTAAGGCTGCAGAAGCTGGGTGGGGGTCTGTGTTGGTGGAGCTGGGTGCTAAACCAGGTGTTCAGAAGGAGATTTTGTGGCACATAAAAAAATCACAGCCACAAAGACATTTAAGAGTTACCCCTGGTTTTGAAAGCTTTGCTCCCTGGCAAGCAGAAGAGAGGCTGCTGGGGAAGGAGAGGGTCTCACCTGGGCAGCTGCTGTGTGGCCCCCTCAGCCCTCTTTGCCTCTCACGTTGGCTTTTTTATTTATTTATTTGCAGCATATAAAATTACATCAGCGACAGCACCTCATAGTGCTTTACAGCCTTCTCTAAGCGGCTTACAGAGCATATTGACCCCAACAATCTGGGTCCTCATTTTACCAACCTCGGAAGGCTGGAAGGCTGAGTCAGCCTTTAATTCTAACAATGTTAGCATTAAAATTTCAAAATTATACTCTTTTAGAAGGAGGCAACAATAAAAGCCATGTTAAAAATCAACTGAAAAGGCAAAGGGAGGGCTTTCAGGGGACTAATAAGCCCCACGGCCACGTGCTCATCTGCCTGTCCCAAGCAAGGCCGCAGAGCCAGGCTGTCACCCCTTTCCTGAAGGCTAGCAGAGGGGGGAAGTCCACCTCACCTCTGGGGGGGGATATTCCACAAGATGGGGATAATGGCAGAGAAAGCTCTCTTCCTGGATCTCCTTATCATCCCTTCCCTGCCTGACCACGTGGAATGAGTCAATGTAATGGGAGGAAGCCAGTTCTATGGGTAGCCTGGCCCCAGGCCATGTAGGGCTTTATAGGTCATAACCAGCACCTGGAATTGGACCCACAAACAGACTGGCACCCAGTGCTGTTCATGCAAGAGGTGTTACATGTGTCATTCTTTAGATGCCAAAAATTGCTCCCCTGGCCCCCTTTTTTACTAGCTGAAGCTTCTGGATACTTTTCAAGGGAAGCCTCATGTAGAGCGTGTTGCAGTAGTCCAAACGGGAGATGGCCAGAGCAAGAGTGACCGGACAGGACAGGGCGTAACTGGCACACAAGGCAAATGCTTTGCTCCTCTACTTCCTCCTCTCTCCCAAAGGTTTGGAAGAGCTCAGGTTGGGGAACATGGTCTGGATTGGACCTGAGGACAGAGAGACCTATTCCTAGTAGCCAGCGCCCCATCTATGGTGCATATCAGGGTGGCTCCCTGTATGTTCCTATTGTGTGCCAGATAGAATGTGGGTTGCACAACAACCACCTTTGCTTGCAGGCCTGGCCCACCTTTCCTGCCCCCCTTCCTCAAGGCAAAGAGCAGTCTTGGCCCCCGGTCTGCCATTCGGTGAGAATCCAGTGTTGTGACTTGGCACTGATTTACAGAAGATGCAGGATGGGCAGAGGGCTTCTTGAATGAATATTAATGGTGAACGGTGGATTTAATCCCAGATTAACAGGCCATTGCTTTCTCTGACTGATCAGAGAGGCCAGGTTTAACCAGAGGAGCAGAGGCTCAAGCTTCCTGTCCTTTCCTGAAGCCTGCAAACTCTTCAGGCAGCTGACAAAGGCAAAGCAAAGGAGGGAAGCTGCATCTGTGCAGAGCCTTTTCCCAATCCAGGAAACGCACCTCGATTCCCAGGTTCCTGGTCTCTAAAGAGTCTGGGAGAATGGTGGACATTCAGGATACTAGGAAGAGCTGACCTGGGGCCACACTTGGAATACTATTGCATCCAGTTCTAGTCACTAGGATACCAAAAAGATGCTGAGAGTCTGGAGAGACTGCAGAGAAGAGCAACAACAACAACTAGGGGGCTGGAGGTTAAATCATAGGATGAATAGTTGAGGGAACAAGGCATGTCCAGCATATTGAAGGATTGGGGGGGGGGCATGATAACTGTCTTCCAATATTGAGGGGCTGTCACAGAGAGGAGGAGGTTGACTTGTTCTCCAAAGCCCCTGAGGGCAGGACAAGAAATAATGGTAGAAGCTTGTTAAAGAGAGATCCAACCTAGAAGGAAGGAAGGAATTTTCTGACATTGAGATCAATTAATCAATGGAACAGCTCGTCTCACTGAGTTGTGGCCACTCCATCACTGGAGGTTTTTAGAAGACAGTCACTTGTCTGAAATGGTATAGAGCAGGGGTAGGCAACCCAAAACACTCAAAGAGCCACTTGGACCCGTTTCCCACCAAAAACAAAACACCGGGAGCCACAAAACCCTTTGGATATCTAAAATGAAGATAACATTGCATATATCCTTTTTTACCTTTATTATAGGGGTGTGTGTGTGTGTGTGTGTGTGTGTGTGTGTGTACACATTAAAAATAAAAGTAAAAATATGACTCTTGGGAATATCCATACTATTAAAACAATGATCACCAAGAGAATGCTTTAAGAGAATAAAATTACATACACACACAGGTAAAAAAAGGATATATGCAGTGTTATCTTCATTTTAGATGTCAAAAGGGTCTCTCTCTCTCTCTCTGTCTCTCTCTCTCTCCCTCCCTCCCTCTCTATCTGCCCTTGGTCTGCCACTCCTCTTCCCCCACTCTCTCTCTCTCTCTCTCTTTCCCCTCCCTCTCTCTCTCTCTTTCTCTCCCTCTCTTTCTCCCCCCCTCCTATCTGCTGCTCACCTGGCAAGCTTCAAGCTGTTCTCCCACAAGCTCAGGGGTAAGCAACCTCGTTTCTTTTATGACTCATGGACTTCAACTCCCATAATTCCTGAGTCAGCCTAGCTGGGCTAGCTAGCTCTCTCCTGCCCTTCCTGCTTCCTGATTCCTGCAGAGACGCAGCAAAGGAAGGAGCTCCGCCTAGTAAGCTTTTCAGCTCCTCGGAGAACACTGTGAGTGCATTCTCTTTTACACACACACACAGAGAGAGAGAGAGAGAGAGAGAGAGAGAGAGAGAGAGAGAGAGAGAGAGAGAGAGAGAAAAGCAGGGAAGCGCAATTGCCTCTCTCTGTCTCTGTCTCTCTCTGCAAAGGCAGAGGAGGCTGGGATCCACAGGGGAAGGCTCAAAGAGCCGCATGCGGCTCCAGAGCCGCAGGTTGCCGACCTGTGGTATAGGTTCTCCTGCTGGACTAGAAGACCTCCAAGGTCCCTTCCAGCCCTATGATTCTGTGATTCTATGACTTATTCCACCAGCAAAGTTCCTGGTGGATAGAGGTGATCTCAATCATGGGGCTGAGTTCAGGCAGCAAGAAAGAAACCGTTTGGAGGAGAAAGTGTGGCTCAAAAGCCGGGAGCAGGGGGAGAATCTGATCCGTTGTTTGCCACCGTGTCTATGGGGTCAGTCGTCCGATGGCTGACATGTTGTCATCAGTGCCTAATGTCTGCAATGCATCTTTTGCCCTTCCAGAGTTTGGACAATTTTGCTTTTGGTCTCTTCAATCTGGACTGGGATGTATTTACACAGCATATTGATGGTGCTATCAACCGAGTCCCAGTCCTGGAGAAAACTGGAATTAAATCAACTGTCTGTGGACCAGGTAAGGACCCCCAGACATCTCCCTCAACATGATTTTTTAAATCTTCACAGTCACATTTATGGGTAGTGGCTTTAACACTGGTTCTTTTAGTAATTCTTCACCACTGTCACAAAGTTATATAATTAAGCTTCATCTTTCGGCTCAGTTTCCAGTAGCCCCCCTTTTTGGAAACCATCTACTTGCTGATGTTGCTGGGGGACTTTTCAGTTCTTTTTTTTTTAATATATAGATATTTTATTAAATTTTTATAGTTGCAAATCTTTAGTGCTTAATAAACAACATGTTGACTAGGTTCACATATTCAACACTAATAGTAATACAACTTCCATTTCTACTCTCTGTTTTGTTTTTCTAGCCATTTATAAAAATTATCCCATGTTTGAAAATATTCTGTATCTTCTTTCCCGTTCATTTTCAATGTAAGCCTATCCATTTCTGCAGAATCCAAAATTTTCCTAATTATATCTTCTGATGGTGTTTTTTCATTTTTCCAGTACTGTGCAAATGTAATTCTCACTGCTATTAATACATGTAGTATTAAATACATATATTTTTTATCATAGTTCTCTGTAATTATACCTAAAGAAATAGTTCTGGCTTAAAGTCTACATGTTTTCTTAACATTTTCTGTAACCACATGTCTATTTTTGACCAATTTCCTTTTGCTTTAGGGCATGTCCACCGAAGGTGATAGTACATGCATGGCTTTTGCCTACATTTCAAACAATTACCAGACATGTTTTTAAACATTTTTGCTAATCTTGCAGGTGATAAATGCCATATATAAAACATTTTATATAGATTTTCTCTATAAATAGCTGCCCTTGTTATTTAAACTTGGAAGTAGAAATATTAACAGTTGAATTTCAACATTGATTTGCTTATAAAGGTTAATTCTAAAGGTAATTAAAATTATTGGTGAATGTAATAAATATGTTCTTTCTTAGCGGCAATAAAAAAATTACTAGCTTAAATATAAGATAGTAGATATGAAGAGAGGAAGTATTAAATGTTGAAATAAGAGAAATTTTGGTTACTAAATTTAAGATATTTAGAAATTATCAGGTAATAGGTAATAGTAGTAAAGTTGGAAGGGACCTTGGAGGTCATCTAATCCAACCCCCTGCTCAGAAAATAATATATTGTATTGGTTGATGTAAGATGATGAGGATTCAAATAGATAAGAACATTAGATCTTGTGATGAATTGTGATACAGGGAATTGGGATTATTTAAATCTTGGAAATTATAAATACTAAACGCTAAAGTTAGATATTAATGGGAAACTAAAAATTGGGAAAAACTAACCAGGACATTGATTGTCTAAAAAGATTGAATGTTAAAACAACTAGGATATGTATAAACAAAAATTATTGATAAATGTAAGAAAGTTATTTTTATTTAATCAATATAATAAGAATTGGATTAATTTAAATATGAGACAGTAAATACCAAGGGGAAAAGAGAAGAAATATTTAATATAATAGTTTGAGATCTATACTAAAGATATTTGTATGTTTTTGAATTATTGACCAACTCAGCCGCCATGTTGCTTTTCAAATATTTAAATATGAAATTAGAAAATCAATAAAAAAATTAAAAAAGAATTGGGCTGGAGGGAAAGCCTGCATTTCAAACTAATTGGAGAATGTGATTTATGACTGTTAATTGGAGGAAGGAATTGTGCTTTGATACTATCTGCTCAGGGGAGGGGAATCCAGTTTTTGGCTTTGACTGTGTTAGTGCTGATGCTATCTTTCTCAAATAATAATAATAATAATAATAGTAAAGTTGGAAGGGACCTTAGAGGTCATCAAGTCCAACCCCCTGCTTAGGCAGGAAATCCTATACCATTTCGGACAAATGGCTGTCCAGTCTCTTCTTAAAAACTTCCAGTGTTGGAGCATTCACTACTTCTGGAAACAGGTTGTTCCACTGGTTAATTGTTCTAACTGTCAGGAAGTTTCTCCTTAGTTCTAGGTTGCTTCTCTCCTTGATTAGTTTCTACCTGTTGCTGCCTTCAGGCGCTTTGGAAAATAGCTTGACTCCCTCTTCTTTGTGGCAGCCCCTGAGATATTGGAATACTGCTATCATGTCCCCCCTTGTCCTTCTCTTCATTAAACTAGACATACCCAATTCCAGCAACCGTTCCTTATATGCTTTAGCCTCCAGTCCCCTAATCATCTTTGTTGCTCTTCTCTGTACTCTTTCTAGTGTCTCAACATCTTTTTTATATCGTGGTGACCAAACCTGGATGCAGTATTCCAAGTATGGCCTTACCAAGGCATTGTAAAGTGGTATTAACACTTCACGTGATTTTGATTCTATCCTTCTGTTAATGCAGCCTAGCACTGTGTTGGCCTTTTTGGCAGCTGCAGCACACTGCTGGCTCATATTTAGGTGATTGTCCATTAGGACTCCGAGATCCCTCTCACAGTTACTACTATTGAGCAAGATACCCCTTATATTATACCTGTGCATTTGGTTTTTCTTGCCTAAATGTAGAACCTTGCTTTTTTCACCATTGAATTTCATTTTGTTAGATAGTGCCCAATGTTCAAGTCTGTCCAGATCCTTCTGTATCTTAAGCCTGTCTTCTGGAGTGTTGGCTATTCCTGCCAGCTTGGTGTCGTCTGCAAATTTGATGAGTTCCCCATCTATCCCCTCGTCCAAATCGTTGATGAAGATGTTGAAGAGCACTGGGCCCAGAACAGAGCCCTGGGGCACCACACTACACATTTCTTCCATGTAGATGCGGTTCCATTGAAGACCACATGCTGAGTACGGCCGGTCAGCCAGCTACAGATCCATTTAATGGTGATGCTGTCTACCCCACATTTTTCTATCTTGTCAAGTAGTAGGTTGTGATCTACTTTATCAAATGCCTTACTGAAGTCCAAGTAAATTATATCCATAGCATTCCTCTGGTCCACTAATTTTGTCACTTGGTCAAGAATGCAATAAGATTTGTCTGGCATGATCTATTTTGATGAAGCCATGTTGGCTTTTAGTAATGACTTTGTTTGCCTCTAGGTGTTCGCTGATTCGTTGTTTGATTATCTTTTCCAGCATCTTCCCAGGTATTGAGGTCAGGCTGATAGGTCTGTAATTTCTTGGGTCCATTTTTTTTCCTTTTTTGAAGATGGGAACTACATCAGCTCTTTTCCATTCCTCTGGTAGTTCCCCAGTGCTCCAGGATCTTTGAAAAATATAGTTCAGTGGTTCTGAGATCACATCTGCCAGTTCCTTGAGAGCCTTGGGGTGTAATCCATCTGGTCCTGGCGATTTGAATTCGTCTAGGCTGGACAGGTGCTCACTTACCATTTTCTTGCCTATCTTAACTTGTGTTTCTATTTTGTTTTTTATGGCACTATTTTTGATAGGTTGGTCTGTTTTTTCCCTTTGTGTAAAGACAGATGCAAAAAACGAGTTAAATAATTCTGCTTTCTCCCTATTGCTTGTCACTTTCTTGCCACTTTCACCCACTAATGGACCAATAATTTCCTTCACTTTTTTCTTGTTTTTTGCATGTTGAAAGAAGCTTTTTTGTTATTTTTGACTTTGGTTGCAAGCCTTAGTTCATTTTGAGCCTTGGCTTTCCTCACTTCATCTTTGCAGGCTCGGGCTATTTGCTGATATTCTGACTTAGTTATGTGCCCCTCTTTCCACTTTCTATACTTGTCCTTTTTATCTTTCAATTTGTCAGAGAGTTCTTTATGTAGCCATGCTGGTTTCTTTTGAGAGCTGTTATTTTTCCTCTTTGTTGGTATTGTGCTAGACTGGGCTTTTATTATCTCATTTTTCAAAATTTCCCAAGCTTCTTGAGTTGTTTTCCCCTTGAGGATTCTCATCCATGGAATCCTTCCCAAGCCCTCTCTAAGTTTATTAAAATTAGCTCTCTTGAAGTCCAAGACTCTAGTTTGACTATATTCTATGCTTGTGCTTCCATAATGTTGAATTCCAAATTGCATGATCACTTCCTCCCAGGGTTCCTATGGCTTCAACACCTTCTATCATTTCATCTCTGTTAGTGAGAATTAGATCCAAAATGGCTAACCCCCTAGTTCCCTTCTCTACTTTTTGGGAGAAAGTTGTCTGCTAGGTTTGCCAGGAACCTGTTTGATCTTCCACTTGGTGTGGAGTTTGTCTCCCAGTTGATGTCAGGGTAGTTAAAGTCCCCCATTACTATTGTGATGTGCTTCCTTAGTTAGCTGACTAGTAAAAAGTTCATCTATTTCCTCTGTTTGTTTGGGTGGCCTGTAGTATACACCTATGGCAATGTCATTTCCCCCCCCCTTTTATATTGACCCAAATGCATTCAAATAAAGATTCTTTAAGGTAAACAATGCCTCCAAGTTCTTTGAAGAGTTTCATCTGTTGAAACATGACACCCTGGTCATCATGGTGTCAAATCCAACTAGCGAATCCAAGAAAGGAACTCCTGGGACATTGTTCTTCCCAAAAGTAATAATTTTATTGAATACACTACATTGGCACAAAAGAAGCAAAAACCAGCTCTGAATTTCCTGCTCAAAGATCTATATAATTAAAGATGAATTTTTGGCCACTCCCCATAGTCCATTGCATTGTCCAATCACCTACGCACTATTTGTTATGGGAACTGTCTGGATCGTTCAAACATCTAAGGTACTGTTCCAATACTGAGTTTGTTTGTTCACCACCACCCCTATTCATTTGCCTCATGAGGAAGTCGACATGATCAACCTCGCCACTTTCTTCCTCTTCATATCCGAGCTCGTCCAGCTCTGCTTGCCAGTAGCATCGTTGGCTGCCTTGGCTGCCTCGAGTGAGAGTTACTTTCTTGGTCCTCCCCTCCCAATCATCTTTCTTTCTGATGCCAATGAGCCACCTGGGCTTTGATGCATCTCCTACACTGGCAACCTTTGTCCATTCGGAGAGATCCACTGCGGGGTTAGCCTTGGCAGAGGCTTCCCTCCAGCATTCAGCTTCCTCTTGGTCATTGCCTTGTGTCAACATTCC